AAAAAAAAAAGAGCTCTGTAATTGTAATTTGCATTTCCATGGTAACTAATTATCTTAATCTGTTCTCTGTTGCTATAACAGAATACCCAAGACTGAGTAATTTATAAAGGAAAGAAGTTTATTTGGCTCATGTTTCTGGAGGTGGGCATGTCCAAGATCAGGCAGCTGCATCTGTCGAGGGCCTCGTGCTACATTATCACATGGCTGAGAAGTAGGAACGTGGGAAGAAGGGAACACACACACAGCCTCTCTTCACAACCACCTGCTCCCCTGCTCCGTAGGCAACAAATGAAGTTGGTGGACAGTTAACCCACACCTCAAAAAAGCTATTAATCCCTCTTGAAAACCAACCACCCTAAAGATCCTGCCACCTCTCAACACTTTGCTTTAGAGGAAAAAAAAAAATATCTTTTTTTTTTGTTGCCGTTAAATTTATGGGTTTTTTAAAAAAATCTTTATTTTATTTATTTACTTTTATATGGTGCTGAGGGTCAAACCCAGGGCCTTGCATGTAATAAGCGAGTGCTCTACCCCTGAGCCACAACCCCAGTCCTAAATTTATGTTTTTAACTGACACAGAAGCTATACACATTTATGAGGCACCACATGAGGTTTCAGTACACATATACATTGCATCATGTGTAAATCATGGTAAACATATCTGTCCCCTCAAACTTTTATCATTTCCTTATGGTGAAAACATTCAAAATCCTTCTAGGTTTTTTTTTAAACACTCAGTACAACGTCACTATGTCAGCCTACTGTGCAACACAGCCAGCCCACTGTCAACCTCTTGTTCCTCTGTACCTATAACAGGTGCCCATCTATCTCCCTCTTCCCATCCCTTCCCCCAACATGAGTTTTCAGGGGACAAGCCACAGCACTAATGAGTTTAGACATTTCATGTTCTTAATCTCAAGTAGCATTTGTTTCCCGTTTAGGTCTTGATATCTTTGAGACTCTTTGAAAAGCAATTAGATGAGGTTCTTTCATTTTCAACCATCCACGGTCCTCTGGCACTTTTAGGGCCCGGGCCTACCAGAACCTGCTGCAGCATGCCCTCCCGGAACAGCAGCTCTGCTCACATCTGTGAGGCCGAGAGCCAGGAGGCCTCCTCAGCAACTCCACAGGACCTTACCAACTCATTCTTTGTCTCCTTCAAGGACATCCATGCCCTCCTCGTCTACCCGCTGCTGGCTGGCCTCTTCTGCCCAGGAGAAAAGAGCCTGGTCTTTATGGACACTGCACACACAATCACACAAAAGCAGAGACACTTCACAAACTCTTCCAGGGGACAAGCATGGGGAAGAGGACAGATGGAACCCTTCCTCTCTTGAGGACCTACGGGAACAGAAAATTCAACAAAAATGTGCAAGACAGCTTTCAGAGAGCGTCAAGTAGAACATAGCAACGTTTAGCATCTCCACAGAACTGGGAAACTCACAGTCATAGGAAATGCAGAAAGAGAACCAAGTTAGCAAAGTGGAAGACAGTTCGGAGCAAATACCCATACAGACACGAAAGTCATCTGGGGAAAAAAAAAGCAGGGGGACTTGAAAGAGTCCCAGGAAGGGTAGCATGCAGTTAACAGGAGTCCCAGGGAGAACTGGAAGGCAAACAGGTTAAAGAAAAAAGTCAGGCAGTGTCCCTGGCTTCAGCTATGCTCTGAGGCACGAATCCCCAGGAAACAGAATATCTTGAAGAATTTCAGAAGGAGCATCACATCCATTTCAGAAGGAGAATCTGAGTGGCCCAGATTCCTGCTGGACTTTGAAAGTATCCAGACACTCTGGTCATGTGATCGAGAGCTCTGTGTTGAGCTGTGGTGGGAGTCATCCACAGGGGATAACAGAGAGGGTGCAGCCTGACACTGCAGGGAGAAGGCCCAGTGGGCCTGGGCCTCCTGTCAGGGAGAGGAGCCCTGAAGTTGCCCTCCTGCTGAGAGGGCTCAATCAGGGCCAAGACTGATAAATAGAACAGACTTGCAAAACAGGAAGTGGCAGCAAGCAATGACCCTTGCAAAATATGTGGCTTAATCTAAAAGCCACTGCAGTTGCTGAGGATTCCCTAGGTACAAGCCACAGGCTGCTGCGGGGAAGTGTGTGTTAGCCTGAAACTGAAAAACTTCAGAGCATTCCAAGACCACATCTAGGTAGGGGAGAGGGAGGAGGAAGGAAAGTCTGATTTGGCATGTGGGAGGGAGAGTGGGGAAGGAGGGGAAGTGAGGATTTCACCATTTACTATTAATACATTAAAAGAGAATATCAGTTTGACCCCGACTTTCAAGAACCCAAAAACAGCAACTAGTGGAGCAGAAGCAGAGGGCTTCTGAGCTAATGGGTGGAGGCTGAGGGAGGGCTGGGGAGAACAAGCCTGTAATCCGAGTGACTTGGGAGGCTGAGACAGGAGTTCAAAGCCAGCCTCAACAACTGGTGGGGGGCTGGGGGGGTCGGTTAGCAACTCAGTGAGACCC